CAATGCAATAAAACAAAAGAATAAAGCATAGAATAAAATAACAATAAGACATCATAGTTTACATAACATTTAACAAATAAAAACAATGTATAAAACAAAACATCCTACAAAAGTAGGGTTAATGGGAGATGTTGATTAAACTAAATAAGCCTGTTTAAAGAGAAGAGTTTTAATCTGTGATTTGAAAATGGAGATGGTAGGAGAGTTTTTGATGTTCGGTGTTCCAGAGGTGGGGTGCTGAGTGACTAAAAGCTCTTGAACCCATAGTGGTCAGATGAGCTGGTGTTGAGTGAGTTGGATGGAGGAGGAGGACCTGAGWGTGTAGGAATTTGTGTTAATGTGGAGAAGTTCTGTGAGATACTGAGGGCCACGATTATTGAGGGCTTTGAGGGTGAGGAGCAAGATTTTATRGGAAATTTGATGTGGAGCCAGTGAAGATGCTTTAGGACAGGTGTTATATATGACTGGTGGAAGGGGTTCTGGAGATGATACGAGCAGCTGAGTTTTGGACCAGTTGTAGTTTATGGTTAGATTTTGCTGGTAAACCGAAAAGTAGGGAGTTGCAATAATCTAGCCGTGATGTGACCAAAGTGTGAACTAGAAAAGCGGTACTGCTGGGTGAGAGGGATGGACGGAGATGAACAATGTTACRGAGGTGAAAGTAGGCTGAACGAGTAACGTTACTGATGTGAGATTTAAATGAGAATGTGTTGTCCAGGATGACACCCAGTCTCCTAACCTGAGGGACAAGGGATGCTGAGTTGCTATCAATGAGAATAGAAAAGTTGTTGGTTTTTGTAAGGGTGGATTTAGTTCCAATGAGAAGAAATTCTGTTTTGTCGCTGTTTAGTTTAGGAAGTTGCTTGTGAACCAGGACCTGATTTCAAATAGGCAGTCAGACAGTGAGGTGGCTGGGAGGGTGGCATTGGGTTTGGTGGACAGATAGAGCTGGGTGTCATCCGCATTACAGTGGAATTGGATGTTATGTTTACAGAAAATATTTCCAAGCGGAAGGAGTTAAATGATAAAAAGAAGAGGACCGAGGACAGAACCTTGTGGAACACCAGAACTGAGAGGGGTTGAATGAGATGAAAAAGATTTTAATTGAACAAACTGTGTACGACCAGAAAGGTATGAAATAAACCAGTTAAGGGGTGTGTCTAAAATACCAATACGTCAGTCAGTGAGGATGGTGTGTGAAATGGTGTCAAAGGCTGCGCTTAAATCAAGGAGGATGAGAATGGAGAGGAGTCCAGAGTCTGCAGCTGTGGTATGTGACAGAAGATATGATTTTCTTCTCCACACCTCTGCTTCCTCCAGAGCTGCCTGGGTTTCCAGCTTCTCCTGCTCAGCTTGTTTCTTTGACTTTTCCAGTTCGTGGATGGATTTGTTCGTCTCTCCCAGCTGCTCGGTGAGATCCATTATTTCCTCTGGGATTAAAAAAAGAACATTTAATAATATAATCTACATCTCCACTGACAAAGGTTCAGAAAAGCTTTTGGCCCACGTTGCAGGTTTTTGTTCTCCCGTTTCAGCGTCTCGAGTTGTTCCAGACATTCTTCGAAGGCGTTCTTCATCTTGAAGTTCTCCGTTCCCAGAGAGCGGACCTCTTTTAGAGCCGACTCCAGCTCTGCTTGACCCTCCTCGTGTTTCTGCTTCCACTCTGACACAACCTGAGGGCAAAGAAGACAGACTRGTTGTCTCGTTGAAGCATGAAAACACGACGCTGGTGTCCAAGTCAACAAAAACAACAGGTTTTCTTCAACCTTGTCAAAGTTCCTCTGCTTCTTGTCCAAAGCAGCAGCAGCAGAGTTGGACCTCTCCATGTCCATCATTAAGTCCTCCACTTCTCCCTGCAGCCGATGTTTGGTTTTCTCCAGCGAGGAGCACTTTGAGTTGACGGCCTCCACAGCTTCCTCGGCGTCCTGCAGACGCAGCGCCAGCTTCTTCCTGCAGGAGGACACGAGCTGAACCTCAGTCTTATCTGTGTGTCATGAAGAGACGTGCTCCTACTTGGCCTCCTCGAGCTCCTCGGTCCGTTGGATGGCGTCCGTCTCGTATTTGGTTCTCCACTGAGCGACCTCGCTGTTGGCCTTGGACAGGCAGCGGAGCAGCTCGGCTTTCGCTTCCTGCTCCTCCTCATACTGCTCTCTGAGGAGCTCACAGTCGTGACGAGACGACTGCAGACTGTGAGCCAAGGCGTTTTTGGCCTAAACAGAGGAAAAGAAACTGTTTAAAGAGTCAAATCGACCCTGAGAGGAGGCGGGGCTATGGGATAAATCTTGTGCCAGCAGGAACTGAATTTGAATTGCTCAAATTGAATCTGAATGTGCGTGATTTGAAATTAAATGCAATGGTTTGAAACTGAATTTAAAGTTTTGTATCTGAATTAATTTGCTTTGAAACTGTATTTTGTTTTTTAAAAATTCAGTTTGACTACTTTCACTTTCAGTTCCATAATTCAGATTTTTGTGTCACATCCTGGTTCTTGAGAAAGCCAGGCAGAGTAATCAAACACAGATCCACAGATTTATGTTTCACTTTGGTGAAGTTTCCCTTCTGGATGTAACAGAGTTGATGCAATCCGCTGTAAAAGTGACAAAAACAGTTATTTTATTGCAGTGATTACCGTATTTTTTGGACTATAAGCCACACCCCCAACATAAACAAACAGTACACCCAAAATTGTCGTCAAAAAAGTGAATTCAACAT